TCGTAGTGGGTGAGGACCCCCACCACGTCCAGGTGGCCCGGGGCGACCCCGTCCCGCTCCATCCTCACCCTGCACACCGGCCCCTCCAGCCCGCCCAGCGGCCAGGGGTGCGCGCTGGAGCGGGGCCGGCCCTCCTCGGCCATTCCCTGCGGGCATTTGGCTCCTGGCTCGGGGAAGAGGCGAGTGGCCCTCCTGGGTCTCCCCGCCCAGCTGGGTCCGGCTGGTTCCTGCAAACTCGCATTTTCCCTATTTCTCCCCTCTGCTTCCAGCTCCTCTGGGCTCAGGGAATTCCTCTCCCCCTTCCTGGGCAGCGCTGCAAGGGGAGGGAGCAGCACCAGGCACAGCAGGAACACCCCGAGAGCAGCCCTCATGGTCCCACCTCAGCTGTTCCCAGCTCTGCATCCCAAACTCTCCCAGGGAGGGAGGACTCTCCCTTTTAACCACGGGTGGCCTTGAGTGGCCCAACACACCTCCCGTGGGCAGCCCCGGGGCCTGTCCTGCCCGAGGGGAGGCTGCAAAGGACCTTTCTTTGTTCTATTTTTGGGTTTGCAGCTCGTTTTGGAAACGGGAAAAAAATGCAAAGCTCTTCCCCCGCTCGTGGGGACACACGGCCTTGACTTGGGATGTTTTCTAAAGGAGGGTGGATGTCTGGGCTTGGATCCTCACGGGGACTGGCACATCCCATCCCATCAACACCAGGAGAGAGGGATGAGCCAGACTGGGAGGAGGGGGACAGACACAGATAATGGACAGAAACTAAGTAAATGTATGGAAAGCATTCCGTCCTGGCTGGAAAACCTCCCCCTCGGCTGGTACCTCACACCCTGCAGCTCGGAGAGGCCACCCTTGGAAGGAGCTTCGTCCTGGGAATGAGGATTATGAGGGGCAGCAGCAGCCTGGGGACTTGGAACTCTTCCCTCAGAGGGAAATTATTTTCCCTCCATGAGATGCCAATCCTCCCTGGAACAGCTGGAATTCCAGTGCCTAAAGGGGCTCCAGGAGAGCTGGAGAGGGACTTGGGACAAGGGATGGAGGGACAGGACAAGGGGAATGGCTTCCCAGTGCCAGAGGGCAGGGTTAGATGGGATATTGGGAAGGAATTGTTGGCTGTGAG